AACACGGCAAAGCAGCAAGCGAAAGACGGACTGCACGACAGGGAGATGGAAAAGCGCGAAATTGAAGGACGAAGGAGAAGGGAAGCGAGCGTGGGTGGGTGGTTTGGGGTGAGTGGTCGGCGCCAACAGCGTTGACTCGGGGAGGCCGGTGAAATTTGAGTCGCGTGGTTGCCCGAGCCCAAAGCTTGAAATTTTCGATGCTCGTGACGTTCCGATAGTCGTAGGTAGCGCACAGAGAGCAAGTAGTGAGGTCGCAAGTATGTCGTTCGTCGCACAAGTAATTCCTCGTCGCAATGCGTGGTTCTGCAGAGCAACACACGTTGTGGAATTCGCTTCGCCCCCTTTTCTACTCCCCCACCACCCCGCGCTAGCTGGCACAATGCCCCCAGCCCAGTTTGCGCACCCATTCGCATCGAGTCGCAGCGATTTGTGCGAATCGAAATGGCGAGCCATTCCGGCCACGTTCGACCTTTTCGCGAATAGCTGGAGTGTACCACGCGCCAAACCAAAGTCGGCCCATCCAAAGCACCGTTTGAACGGTGACCGCTCCATGCTTTGGCCGTTGTGGTGCGATAGTGCACAGAGCGCACTGTATTGTTATTATAGGCCTATCCTTATATATTGCCACAACAACCCACATGTAGGTTCAGGCTTTTTATGCCGATTCAAATCACACGGTATTCCAAAATATAAACTGAATAAATATGTTTGTATCTATGTCTTTGGGCTGAGCTGAACTCCTCACAAATTATACTGTATCTTCACTGATTTTCCAGCGTTTCCTGGAATACTAATTTGAAATATCAACAAGGGTGAACAACAAGAATTTCCCTAATCGTGTTGAGAGGATTGCTATATAGTGTTTTGGACGACCACATTCATGCTCCGGAAACACCTAAGCAAGTCTGCGATTGGCTGGCCGTTTTCCAACTTCCACATTCTTGGCTGAAATGGCCAGTCACAATTCGCGAAAGCAATTCCTTTTCGAAATGATAAGGTACCCACCTGCTTGCCTGAGAAGTGGCGTCGCAAATCGTTCGCGTGAGGTAACTGCGGTCGCAACAAGAATGTGCGATGCCCACCTTGGAAATTGCGGTTGTGGCTGTGGTTGTGCGATAGAACCCCACTCTGCCCCCGAACTTCCCAAGGTTTCTTCCACCCTCGCACACCCCACTCCATCTTCCTCCCTGCAATCTCCTTCCCCACCTCTGAACCTGTGCTTGAATCCATGGCTGCCGCGTCCGCTGCCGCTGCTCGTGTCGCCATGGCTGCTGCTCCCGTGCAGTCGGCAGTGCTTGCATCGTCTTATTCTTCTCGATCAAGCTTTGCAGCAGGCCCTATTCCCAGGCCGAGCCGTACTGCTGGAGCGAAGCGCCTACCAGCAGGAATCAGGTGCCATGGCGAGGAGAGCGACGCGGCCGTCGATGGCCGCGCGTTCCGCCGAGCGTTGAATAAGAGCGACAACTACAACCGCAGCGGGTTCGGGTACAAGAAGGAGATGCTGGAGCGGATGGAGCAGGAATACACGAGTGAGCCCAATGCCCGCTGCAAACGGCCGCCTTGCACGCAGAAAAAAGCATTCGCTTAGAATTGAGGATTTTACTTTCTTTAAAACATGCTATTCTTCAAAAAATGCCTTTGGTTCTTCGTGAAAATAGAAGGTTGGGTGTGTTGGGCCCTCCGCGAATTCCGATGTCGTTGAGCCCTCCGAGCAGCGCGGGGAGCTCCTCCTGGTCGTGAGCGTTCCTCTCCTCACACGGCCGTCCCTCAATGCGTGCAGGCGACGTGGTGAAGACTCTGCGTGAGAACAACAACAAGTACACGTGGGGTGACGTCACCGTCATGCTCGCCGAGTCGCTCGGCTTCTGCTGGGGCGTGGAGCGCGCCGTGCAGATGGCGTACGAGGCGCGCAAGCAGTTCCCCGACCAGAAGATCTGGGTGACCAATGAGATCATCCACAACCCCACCGTCAACGACGTGCGTGCCTTGCGCCTTCCCCTCCTTCCCTTCCCCCCGTGAAGCTCACCGCCACACGCCACGTGTCATGCGTGCTCGCCCCCCATTCCCGCAGTCGTGTTTCTGTTCCGTTCGCCGCGCCGCGACCGTCGATTGAACGTTTTATGTGGTGCGCGTGTCATGCGGTGTGCCCTTTGTGCGGGCGGCAGAAAATGGAGAGCATGGGGATGAGTTTCATCGAGACGCGCGGCGACGGCAGCAAGGACTTCAGCGTGGTGGGCGACGACAACGTGGTCGTGCTGCCCGCGTTCGGCGCGTCGCTGCAGGAGGTGACCATGTTCCACGACCGCAACGTGCAGATGGTCGATACCACCTGCCCCTGGGTCTCCAAGGTAACCCTCCTTACCTTACCTCCCCCTTCCTCAACCCATCCTCCTCCACTTCCCCTCCCTTCCCCCTTCCCCCCAACCTGTGATGCTTACCTCTCCCACCTGTGCCTCTTACTCCCTGGTCAGCTTACTGCCCTGAATTTCTTTCCTCCTCCCATGATCTTCTTCCTCCCATGCTCCTCCTCCTCCTCCTCCTCCTCCTCCCCCTCCTCCTCCTCCTCCTCCTCCTCCTCCTCCTCCTCCTCCTCCTCCTCCTCCCATGCTCCATTGTCCTCCCATCCTCCCATGCCCTCTCTCGCATGTCCCGTGCGTTGCGTGTGCGGTGGGCAGGTGTGGGACACGGTGGACAAGCACAAGCGCGGGCAGTTTACGTCGGTGATTCACGGCAAGTACGCGCACGAGGAGACCGTCGCCACCGCCTCGTACGCTGGCACCTACATCGTCGTCAAGGACATGAAGGAGGTGAGCGCGCGCAGGGGGAGGGGTTAAAGGGCAGGCAGGAGGTGCGGGCGTGAAAGAGGTGCGGGCGGGCAGGGGGTGCAAGAGAGGCAGCTTATCACGAGTAGCAGCTCTGTGTGGCACGGATAAAGTTGGGAAGTAGGGGCGTACTGCACACACTTACATGCACGCGCACCATTCCGCTGCCCCCTGCTCCTTGTGCCTGCCCACTTACCACCCCACTTGCAACCCCCCTCCCCGGCATGCGCTCATGCGTGCGTGCAGGCGAACTACGTGTGCGACTACATCCTGGGCGGCAAGCTCGACGGCTCCAGCGGCACGCGGGAAGAGTTCCTGCAGGCGAGTTGCCACGCGCTGCTTCTGCCACGCCTCCTTCATGTGTCAATCCTTCACGTTCCTGCTGTCGCCTCTGCCTCCTTTCTTCATCACGCCATGCCATGCCATCACCCTCATACCCCCCTCTCACGCCATCCCCAACACCGTCTTCCCTCCCCCCGGGCTCCTCTCGTACCCCCACGTGTGCGTGCGCATGCGGGCGCGCAGAAGTTTGCCAAGGCGGTGTCCAAGGGGTTTGACCCGGACAGGGACTTGGAGCGCGTGGGCATCGCCAACCAGACCACCATGCTCAAGGGCGAGACCGAGATGATCGGTGCGCCGCCGTGTCATGCCACCACACAGCATGCGGGGCGTGGGATGGCAGGGCGCATGGGGCGTGGGGGCCTTGAGGAGGAAGTGTGGGGGTGGGCCACACACACCCCCCATTGCAGTTGGCATGTCAACACTGTGCTCCCTGACTCATGCACCATCCTTGTGCTGCTCACATGCTCCCCCACGTGCCCCCCACGTGCTCCCACCACTCTCCCCGCCCCTGCGCGCTTGTTGCAACCCAACCCCAGGCACACCCACACCATCCTTCCTCTCCATGCTGCTTTGCCGCCCTTCCCCACCCATGCTCCCTCACCCGCATGGCTGTCCCTCGTGCTGCTGTGGGTTGTGGGTGGGCGGGCAGGCAAGCTGTTGGAGCGCACGATGATGAGCAAGTACGGCGCCACCAACGTCAACTCGCACTTCATGAGCTTCAACACCATCTGTGACGCCACGCAGGTGCACTCCCACCCACCCACCCACGGGGGGGATTGATCCGATAGGGAGGAGAGTGGGGAGAGCAGGGAGTGGGAAGGAGTATTGCTGGGTGGGAGAGAGTGCGTGCACCCTTTCTCGCTCTGCGGATCCCAGCTTAACAGCCGCACCGACACACCATCCCACTTCCATTTCACAACACACCCTTCCACCCAGCTCAATACCTCCTCTTCCTTTCCACTCCCACCTCCTCCTCTCCTTCCTCCCCTGTCTTCCCTGCCCTCCCACCCCCCTGTGCGAGGTGGCAGGAGAGGCAGGACGCGATGTATGCGCTGGTGGAGAGGCCCATGGACCTGATGATCGTGGTGGGGGGCCTCAACAGCAGCAACACCTCGCACCTGCAGGAGATCGCCGAGCACAAGGGCATCCCCTCCTACTGGGTGGACGAGCCGTCGCGCATTGGCCCTGGTAACCGCGTAACGCACAAGCTGTACTACGGCGAGCTCAAGGAGACGGAGGGCTTCCTGCCGCCCGGCCCCATCCGCATCGGCGTCACCTCGGGCGCCTCCACCCCCGACAAGGTGCGTGGGTCCCGTGCCCTGCACCTCCTGCACCACCACGTGCCGCTTTTGGTGCACAACCCCCCCTGTGCCCTGTACCGTTCTCCTAACCCCCTGTTCCATATGTCATGGTGTATGTGTGTGGTGCGCCCTATTCCCTGGCATGGCATGGCATGGCATGGCATGGCATGGCAGGTGGTGGAGGATGTGCTGAACGCCATCTTCGCCATCAAGAAGGACATGGCCGCGCTGCAACCAGTCGCCTAAAAGTCGCTGCGCTGCTAGCGCTCCACACACAAATAGAGTAGAGCCATTCATGAAGCCCTCATCCTTTGATTTGCCTGTGCTTGTTGGCACATCAAATGTTACAGATAAGTGCCAAAGCAATGTGCTTCCTACTGTGCATAACTCTGAATCATAATTTCTGTATACAACTAACAATCCCAGCTTGAAACCACCGAAAGCAAGTGTGTAGAGCAAGGCAATGATGCCACCGACTGAGTGCCCACCGCGTACACTCCCTGCATGCCCACGCTCTTCACAAGAGCAGCAGCTGCTACAAGGTGCCAAAGCTCCTGTCCCCAGCATCGCCAAGTCCAGGTACAATGAACCTGATGTGGTTGGCAGGCACGGATGGGGGTGGGAGTGGGAGTTGACAAGGCAGATTTGGAGGGAGGGGATGAAGAGGGGAGCGCAGGCAGGAAGGCAAGGGCAGGTGTGCAATGGAGGGGACAGGGCGCATGGAAGAGTGGTGTGGGAGAGGTGGGTGGGAGACGGGCGTACCCTTGGTCATTGACGTCAGCATCGATCATCCCCGTGTACACTCGCAGCCTGCATGCACGACGGCAGGGGCAGAGGTGGCAGCACAAGGGCAATGCATGCAGGCAAGCTTGGGTTATGGACACTAGGAAGAGCAGATGGGCAGAGACAAGAAACGAGTAGGTGATTCAAAAAGACGAGTGGGGCGAGTGTGTGTTGTGCGATGGATAGGGTTGCACGTGTGCGTGTGCGTGTGTGTGCGGCTCACCCTTTGTACTTCTCACTAAGGCGCTTGAGTGCTGGAGATGCCACTATGGCCGATATCTGTCTCGCACATGTGGAGAAGAGGGGGAAGGGGGATAAAGGGGGACATATTGTGGGGTGCTCGCTTGGGACACAGCATGGCATGGCACGTGGAGCAGGAATGCTTGACACTTCATGGCATGTCATGGCAGCACAGTGCAACAAGAAAAACAAAGGCAACAAGGCAACAAAGGAGTGAAATATATGGCAGGAGTGAGAGGGGCGTGGGAGGGCGGGGCATACGATGCGGATGTTGTCGGGGTTGGCTCCTCGCCCCACCACCTCCTCCATCGTTGCCATCATCGTGCCACCTGTGCCCATGCATGCGGTGCAGAGCGGTGGAATGGGGTACGGTGGGAAGAGAGCATGAGAGAGTGGGTAAGGCGTGGAGCGCGCATGGTGTGTGCAGCAGTCGACTGGATTTAGTAGGTTGAAGACCCTAAAGTGGCATCTGAGGCATGTGTCGTGCTTGCATGTGCCCCCGTGCAACAAGCCCCACTGACCGGTGGCGAGCATGGCATCGACGATGATGATCCGTGCCTCGGGGTTGAACGCCCTGGGCAGCCTGCCGCACGCATGGGGGGGAGGAGATGGTGACGCACGGAGAGGCGTGGAGAGGCGTGGAGAGGCGTGGCTGGTGCTGTGAACCGTGGGTCAGCCCGCCCCTCACTGCGGGAGGCGCGAGGATGGGGTGAGGTGAGCGGAGCATTGAAGGGGATGGGTGGGGTGGGGTGGCAGGAACGATTGGCAGAAAAGGAGGGTGGTGGATGCAGCAGGGAGCGGGGTGAGGAGGGGTGCAGGGGGGGGCGGAGGGCACTGACTTGTTGAGGTAGAGAGTTGGCTGGAGCGTGGTCTCGTCCCGCACATAGCCTGGCCTCATGCACATGCATGGGGTGAGATGCATGTATGGGGCGAGATGCATGAATGGAGGGGGCGTATGCGTGCACGCGACGAAGGAGAGAAATGCCTGACAGGCGGGGTGTGATAATGGCACATGACACGTGGCACACACCAATTGACGCACGACACATGACACGTGCCACACGGCACATGCTCAAAGGCGCGCTCCCAGGTGCACAAGGTGGTGAGCATGATGGCACACGTGCCGTATGTGTTGCCCGTTATATGTGCTTAAAGGGCAATACCGTGGTGGTAGGATACCGAGGTGGTAGGAGGCAATACCGAGGTGGTAGGAGGCAATACCGAGGTGGTAGGAGGCAATACCGAGGTGGTAGGAGGCAATACCGAGGTGGTAGGAGGCAATACCGAGGTGGTAGGAGGCAATACCGAGGTGGTAGGAGGCAATACCGAGGTGGTAGGTGATGGTGTGGGGAATGACTGGCCCCATCTGCTCTGCCATGACTGCCCCCGCCCTCAGCACTGGAATGATCTGCCCCCATGCTCACATGCACGCACATGCGGTGGGGGTGGGAGGGAGGAGGAGGTGAGGCGAGGCAAAGTGAGGGGAAGTGAGGCGAGAAGAGGAGAGGAGATTATGTGCATAAGCATCTGGCTTTGAAGCAACAGTGGTGCGGCATGGTTGGTGATAAGCACGGAACTGCAGGGAACAATAATCTCCTCGTCCATGCACATGGGAAGCATGCAGCGTGGGGCTGCCACGTGGCTCACCGCGATTGGCTGGGAGGGGTCGACGGCCTCCACCTCAGCAACACCGCAGGGCGTGGCCACCTCGCCCTGAATCATCGGCTGCCGCCCAGCAGGGGGGGGGAGGGGGTTGTGAAGGGGATGGAGAAACAACACAGAAAAAAGTTGAAAAGAGTTTAAAGGATTGGGGGGAGGGAGGCCAGCGGCGCGCAGGCAGAGGAGCAAATGAGTTATGGACTGAAAAGAGGAGTGGGGAGTGAGGGCGATGCAGTGCAGTGCAGTGCAGTAGGGGTGGACTGGTTGCGGCGGTGGCAGTGCGATGGGTGTGCAGGGGAACGGTTGAGTGCATGGCAACATGTAACTGTTGGTCAACTCACCAGCCAATCACGAGTAGCTTCATAAGCAATGTTGCGACCCAGCTCTGCCAGTGCGGCCCCTGCAGTCAGCACGTTGGGAGGAGGCATGGCAGCACGTTGGGAGGAGGCATGGCAGCACGTTGGGAGGAGGCATGGCAGCACGTTGGGAGGAGGCATGGCAGCACGTGCGAAGGAGGCATGGCAGCACGTGCGAAGGAGGCATGGCAGCACGTGCGAAGGAGGCATGGCAGCACGTGAGAAGGAGGCATGGCAGCACGTGAGAAGGAGGCATGGCAGCACGTGAGAAGGAGGCATGGCAGCACGTGAGAAGGAGGCATGGCAGCACGTGAGAAGGAGGCATGGCAGCACGTGAGAAGGAGGCATGGCAGCACGTGAGAAGGAGGCATGGCAGCACGTGAGAAGGAGGCATGGCAGCACGTGAGAAGGAGGCATGGCAGCACGTGAGAAGGAGGCATGGCAGCACGTGAGAAGGAGGCATGGCAGCACGTGAGAAGGAGGCATGGCAGCACGTGAGAAGGAGGCATGGCAGCACGTGAGAAGGAGGCATGGCAGCACGTGAGGAGGAGGCATGGCAGCACGTGAGAAGGAGGCATGGCAGCACGTGAGAAGGAGGCATGGCAGCACGTGAGAAGGAGGCATGGCAGCACGTGAGAAGGAGGCATGGCAGCACGTGAGAAGGAGGCATGGCAGCACGTGAGAAGGAGGCATGGCAGCACGTGAGAAGGAGGCATGGCAGCACGTGAGAAGGAGGCATGGCAGCACGTGAGAAGGAGGCATGGCGGCACGTGAGAAGGAGGCATGGCAGCACGTGAGAAGGAGGCATTGGGGGCACGGCAGAAGTGGGGTTGACAGTGAAGCACTGGCAGTTGCATGCAGCACTGGCGTGGCGTTTGCCCTGCACCATGATTGACCATCAAGGACTCGCATTGACCAGGGTTGACCGGTGTGACTGACGGAAGATGGGCGGTGGCGAGGTGGCATTGCGCAGGATGGCGATCCAGTGCTTGATCAGCGGGTGTGGCGGCACCATCACCTGCCAGCGGGGCACTCGGGGCATGCGGGCAGACAGAACAGGCGGAGAGAATGGGAAAGTGAAGGATGATGGGAGGGGTAGGAGGGTAGTGGAGCGGAGGGCAGCGAGGGAGGGGAGCGCAGAGGTGCGTGCATGTGAGGGCGGCACCATACACACCATGCATGCATGTGAGGGCGGCACCATACACACCATGCATGCATGTGAGGGCGGCACCATACACACCATGCATGCATGTGAGGGCGGCAACATACACACCATGCAAATTCCCTTCTCCCCATGCTGCTCCCTCTCCCGTCCCCGCCCACCCTGGCCCCCTCCGTTCATGTCCCCCGTGGCCTCAACCCACTTCAGCGTCACCCGCTGTTCCCCCTTCCCCCCTCTGCGCCTCACCAGCATCTGCGCCTCACCAGCATCTGCGCCTCACCAGCATCTGCGCCTCACCAGCATCTGCGCCTCACCAGCATCTGCGCCTCACCAGCATCTGCGCCTCACCAGCATCTGCGCCTCACCAGCATCTGCGCCTCACCAGCATCTGCGCCTCACCAGCATCTGCGCCTCACCAGCATCTGCCGTCCAAAGGCGGGCTTAGCAGCCGCGGAGCACACAACAGCGCCCCCTTTCGCCGCTCCAAGAGGCGCTTTCCGCCAGCACGGCGCGGAGAGTCCGCTGTGCGCCGCGCTGTGAGTAAGCGCGCCTCTCAGCTCTCCGCCCGCCAACCAGCCTGTGCCCGCCCGCGCTCCTCCCCGCGCGCCCCCATGCTGCGGGCAGGCGGCCTGATGCGGGGAGTACAATGGAAGGCGAGCGGGGGCGAGGCGAAGGGTTGGTGGTGGGGTGGAGAAGGGGGGAGGGGGGAGGGGGGGGGGAGGGGGGGAGGAACAGGGGGTGTACACGCATGGGCGAAACGGCGCAAGAAAGGAGGAGTGCGGCGACGAGGGTGCGGCAGATGGTACGCCGGTCCGCGTTGCGGTGGAATACGGCGGGTGGGCGCGGGGGGGCAAAAGGAGGCCGACGGTACCTGAAGGCCGCCCGCTAATGCGGCAGCCGGGGCGGGAGATGCGGCGAGCATGGTGGACGAGACGACGCGCGGGACGGGGTGCTCAAGGTGGACGCGAGGAGACGCACGACGCGAGGAGACGCACGGCACGAGAAAGAACAAATTTTGAGCGCTCTAAAAATGACGGCCGCGAGAAGCGCTTTGGATCAGTGAAATATGCCAGGGAAGGGATGCGTGCCAGCGTGTCTGTCGGCTAATCATACTGTACCATCCGCTTCTGGTCGTACCTCAGTGGTGCAGATGGGTACAGACGTACGATAACATGAGCACAACATCTGATTTATCACACTTGTGTATACGAGCATAGAATAGTACCGAGCTAAATTTGGTGCCAATCCCAATGAAGATTTTTTTTCTTGGAGACAAGAATTGGTTTATTATCACCCAAATGGACCCATCAGCCTATTTTTCATCAAGGGATATGATATGCACGGCTCCCTTTATTTCAAAATCTCAGTATGTGTCCCATTCACTCCTGGAGAACCAAGTGTTCCATAGATGGATGGATAGAGTAGCGTGTAACGAGGGAGCAATCCTCCAGTGCCGAGGTGCCCCCGCAGCGTTGTGAGGCGCCACGCTGTTCGCGGTCACGGCTAATCCAGAGCCCGTCGCGCTGGCATTCTGCGGCCTTTTCTGACCACATGCATACAATCAGTTTCTCTGCTGACATCATCACGCACATGGGGGTCCCCTTTCGAGGACAGACGGGAAAAATATTGCGTCGCATCAGAATCCGCTCGCCTGCGTCGCAAAAAAACGTGAGGAGATCGTCCGACCGCTTCTCAGCCAACATCTTGATCCGGACGAGGAGAACCGCTAGACGTGGATGGCTAACCCTGATCCGACGGTCACAAACATCTCGAGTTGAGTGTTGCTTGAATCGCCAGAGTTTCTTCCCCCTCCCGCCTCCCGCAGCCCAACACACAACACTCTCCCTCCCGCACCTCAGTTTCACTGCCAGCCACCCTCGCCTTGCCAGTGGCAGCCTATCCACCCGCATTCTGTATGGTTTCGACTTGCACCATCGTAGCACCCTTTCGTTGTTCCCTGACTCCCCTCAATAACCTCCACGCGATGCGGAGACCCGTTGTTCCCTGACTCCCCTCAATAACCTCCACGCGATGCGGAGACCCAGTCTTGCCTATCGTTCCCTGGTAGAAGACAATTCCGACCGTGCAGTGCGACACAATCTTGATTGTTCGCCGTCGTCTTATCGTTATGCTGTAGTTCGCGCAGGTAGAATAGTCGCTTAAAATTTTACTCCCTCCAAGCCTTGTTACTCTATGGCGCTGCAGGCGTCGTGCCAACACCCGTCGTGCATCATACTGTGGACCTGCAACCGGCCTGGCGTAGATTAGCCTCGTAGGAGTCAGGCAGATTGCGGCGGACGAGGATTTGTTAGGGTAGAGGAGCAGAGCGGCCGAATTTTTAAGGATAGCTTGAAGAGGCCAGAGACTTCAGAGCCGCAGCAAAAGAGCACGTAGAGATTCCCGACCAGCTAAGCCGTCTCGATTGAGGTGACGACGAGGGGTCGCAGTTCACTGATGTCATCGTCGCCGTGGAACGCGGGGGACGCCGATGCGGACCCTGCCATCAACGCGTGGTCCACGGTGCGTTGCGCTCCCGCGCTTGCCGGCCCTCACTCCCCTCTCCCCACCCTCTCCTCGGCGGCCCACGCGCTATCGCCCGCGGTGTCGCGCAAAAGCCATGCGGGTTGCCGCGGCAGCTCCTCCTCGGGCTGCCCGCCGTGACCGTGCAGGCCCTTGCTGGTAGCGCAGCCGCGGGTTCTGGAGAGGGTGGTGTGCGGTGGGTGCAGCAGAAGCTTCGGTGACGGTAGAGGGGACGATGGGAGGGGATGACGTGGCGAAGCGGAAGAGCTGATGGTGTCGATGCGTGGGGGTAGCCTGCTTCCATCTGTACGGGCCGCTGTTTTCAGTTCCACTTATTGTAGCAATAACTTTCGCAGAATTGTGGCAGTAACTGCAGCAATAGCTGTAGCGATACCTGTAGAAAGAATCGTAGCAGGAACTGTAGTTTCAGTCGCGCACTGGCGTCAGCGGTCGGTAGGCCGGCAAGAGAAGCACGAGGGTAGCGACGAGGGAATAGCTGACGTGTCAGCACGCTCAAGGAGTGCCTGCCCCCGTCGATGGCGCTTTTCGTTATCTTTCACTTCCCGTCCACCTCGCCGTCCTCGCCACCGTGCGCTGTCCCTCTCAACATCCTCGTCCCTTCCCTCCGCTCGCCCGCCCCATTCCCCCCTTTCCTCCCCCCCTCTCCGCAGTTCGACGACATGGTGTGGCTCGAGTTCGGCGCCGACGATCACATCGTCCCCGCGGATGCCGCCAACGCCCACGGGGACTGGTCCGCGGAGATGGGGAGCGCGGAGGAAAGGGGCGCACGGCCGGCTGGGGAAGGATTGGGGGCAAGCGGAGACATGCGGTCGGTTCGCGACATGGAAACCGACGGCGCGCTCGGGGAGTGGATGGCGGAGGCTGGGGGGCGGGACATGGCGCAAAGGGGAGAGGATGGCGCGCGGAAGGCGGGTAAAGGAGAAGCGGCGGACGATTTCACGCTGCAGCAGTGCGCGGAGAGGGAGGGCGGAGTGGGGCGATGCGGGACAGGCTACGGATATGGTTACGGGATGGGTTACGGGTATGGGGAGTTTGGTGGTGGCATAGGGGGGGGCGGCGGGGACGAGGGCGCGGTGATGCGCATGATGGACGCGCACATGCGCGCCAACATGGGCATGGATGCCCGCGGGGGCGCTAGGGGCATGGGCATGGGCATGGGGATGGGGATGGGGATGGGGATGGGAATGGGGATGCAGCAGAGCGAGGTGCGCGACGGAGGGGGGAACGCGCGCGTTGCGGAAGACGCGGACATGGGGGAAGAGGGGGAGGAGGAGGCGGGGGAGAGGGAGAGGACGTGCGAGGGAGGTGAGGGGGGCGCGAGTGGCGGCGGGCGGGGCGGCGAGGTGGAGGGGGTGGCGGCAGCGGAGGCGGGCGGCGCAGTGGTTTGGAGTGGCGGCGAGTCGGCGGCGGAGCATAGCGGCCTTGCCCACCGCGCACTCGCGTCAGTGCCCTGCCCCCCTCATTCCCGTCGATCCCCCACTCCCCTCCAAACAAATGCTCTTGCGTCTTCATCAGTTGCCGCACTCCTCTGTTCGCGGCCTCGCCGTTCACCGTTCTGATTCCGATTCCTTCGTCTCTCCCCATCCCTTCCCCTTCCGCCTTCCCCCGTTCCTGGCTCCCCTCTCTCAGGGCACCGGCGCTCCCTTCCAGCTGCGGGAGGAGCATGGAGGGGCGGGCGGAGGGGGATGCGGAGGGGATTGCGGAGATGGGCGGGGAGAGCGCAAGAGAGGCGACGGCGGAGGGAGAGGACGGGGCCAGAAAGAACAGTACGGGGGAGAAGGGAGGGGGAGGGGCGGTCGGCGGAGATGCACAAGTAGGGGCGAGCGAGGGAGTGAGGGGTGAAGAGCGAGGCGCGGAGCAGGGTGGGGCGGAGTGGGCGAGGGAGAGCGTGGGCGCACACGAGGGGCGCGCAGGCGACAGGCGCGAGGGGGGCGAGGATGGGGGCGATGCAGAGGGGACGGGGAAGGACGAGCGCGCAGGAGGAGCAGCGGAGGCAGTGGCAGCAGCGTTGGATGGAGGCATGCGGAACAGTGCGAGCGATGCGGTGAGTGTGAGCGATGCATGTGTGATGAACACTTGGAGTGTATGTGTGACTGACTCATGTGCTGCACTGCACTCTCCTCACACCATCTCTCCGCCTTCACACTCGCCCATGCACCCCAACGTCTCACTCGCCCATGCACCCTTCCCTAAGCACTCTCGAATCACCCACTCGTACCACCCCCTACCCCCGCTGCCTGCCATGCAGCACGTGGCGCGGCGGCGAGTGTTGGCGCGGCGGCGCAACAAGAGGGAGCAGCGCGCGCCCGCAGCAAGGAAGACCGCCCACTCCGCTGCTGCTGCTGCTGCCCCCGCCGCCCGCCCCGCCACCACCCACCCGCCCCCGCACACTCACTCGCACTCGCACTGCGCCACCCTCGCGTCCTCCTCGCCCACCGTGGCCTCCGCGCCCCCCCCTCTGCTGCGCCACTCCCTCATCACCTCCCCCTCCGTGCACCCCCCCTCCCCTTCCGTTTCCTCGCTCCACACCGCCACCTTCCCGCGCTCTGTCCCCACGCCCTCCTCGCTCCCCGCACTGCCCTTCTTCCCCTCGCCCGCGCCCGCGCCCGCCCTGCCCGCTGCGTGCATGCGCCCCCCCCACGTGCCCGCTGCATTCCTCTCTCCGCCACTGCCCGCCTCGCCTGCTGCCTTCGCCGTGCTCCGCCCCCACGCACCCCCTGCTGCCCTGTTGGCGCGCGGCCTGGTCGCGGCGCAGCAGCAGCTGCAACAGCAGCAGCAGCAGCAGCAGCGGGTGCTGGGGCGGCAGATGCTGCTGTACCATCAGCAGCAGGTGCAGCAGGGGTTGAGTGAGCAGCAGCAGCAGCAGGCGCGGCAGCATCAGAGTGTGGCGCAGAAGCAGCGGGTGGTGCAGCAGGAGCAGCAGGAGCGCAGGCACGAGGTGGACGCAGCACGGCTTGGCAGTGCCAGCGGGAGCATCAGCAATCACATGAGCGTCAGTGCCGGCACCACGGCAGGCAGCATAGCGGTCAGTATGGCAGGCAGTATTGCAGGCAGCATGATGGGCGGTGCAACGCACTTGCTTCCTGCCAGCCTTGCAGCTCGGCAGGCTGCACTGTTGCTGCGCCCGCCTCCCCCGCCCCCACCCAAGTGGCCTGCCTATGTGCCTGCCGCGCTCATCCCACTGCCCGCCCACGTGCCTCTCGCCTCCTCCACCCATGCTTCCTCCTCCACTGCCCCTCTCTCCACCTGCCCCTCCCCCTCTGTTGCCTCCACTCGCCTCTCACCCCGCGCCCTGCAACCTCCGTCCCCCGCTGCCCCGCCTGCTGCTGCAACGCCGGCTCTAGCAGCTTCTGCCCTCACTGCTGCAGCCGCTGCGGCTGTCACTGCAGGCCCAGCGGCTGCAGCAGGCGGGGCAGGCGGGGCGTGCATGATGACGCCAGCGGAGAAGATAGAGAAGCTGCGGCGGCGGCAGCAGATGAAGGCGGCGCAGATGAAGGCAGCTCAGGTGCAGCTGGCGTTGGAGCAGCGGAAGCTGGCTCGCCTGCACCACCTGCACGCCGCACACCACGCCCACCACCTGCACGCCGCGCAACAGCTAACGCACCTCTCCCACGTGCAGCAGGTGCAGTTAGAGCAGCAGGTGGAGGTGCAGTTAGAGCAGCAGGTGGAGGCGCAGCAGCAAGTGCGGGCACAGGCGGCATGCAGGGCGCCACAGCACACCGCTGCCATTGCACCCGCTGCTCTGCACCCCCTCCCACCCTCCACCTCGCTACCGTTGGCTGCAGCGGCAGCAGCAACAGCAGCAGCAGGCTCAAATGAAGCGGTTGCAGCGGCAGGGGGTGCTACAGATGTGCGTGGTGGTGCTGGCAGTGCCACCACCGCAGGCACGCGCCCCCAGGCGTGGGCCCCGCCTGACCTCACAGCTTCTCGCCCTCTGGCCGTGGTGCTCAGCTCCAGCAACCTCGAAAGATTCGCCACGTCAGCTTCCACGTCAGCTGCTGTAGGGGCAGGGCGAGACGGCAGTGGCGTGGTGGCATCGTGTGGGGCGGGCGGAGGGCAGGGCGGGCGTGCAGTGGGCAGGGGCGAGGGCGCAGGGGGCGCGGAGAGGGGCAGTGCGGGTGGAACGGAACTAGGGGGGGCTGGTGAGCGCGGGGAGGCTTCAGGCAGAGCGGAGGGGGGTGGCAGCACGAGAGAGGAGGGGCAAAAAAAAACGGGGAGGAGGGGCACGGGGAGGAGGGGTCGGTGGAGCGTGTGGTGCTGGGGCAGCTGGGCGACACCATGAGCAAGGTGAGGGCAGCTGGGCGACACCATGAGCAAGGTGAGGGCAGCTGGGCGACACCATGAGCAAGGTGAGGGCAGCTGGGCGACACCATGAGCAAGGTGAGGGCAGCTGGGCGACACCATGAGCAAGGTGAGGGCAGCTGGGCGACACCATGAGCAAGGTGAGGGCAGCTGGGCGACACCATGAGCAAGTTGAGGGCAGCTGGGCGACACCATGAGCAAGGTGAGGGCAGCTGGGCGACACCATGAGCAAGGTGAGGGCAGCTGGGCGACACCATGAGCAAGGTGAGGGCAGCTGGGCGACACCATGAGCAAGGTGAGGGCAGCTGGGCGACACCATGAGCAAGGTGAGGGCAGCTGGGCGACACCATGAGCAAGGTGAGGGCAGCTGGGCGACACCATGAGCAAGGTGAGGGCAGCTGGGCGACACCATGAGCAAGGTGAGGGCAGCTGGGCGACACCATGAGCAAGGTGAGGGCAGCTGGGCGGCACCATGAGCAAGGTGAGGGCAGCTGGGCGACACCATGAGCAAGGTGAGGGCAGCTGGGCGACACCATGAGCAAGGTGAGGGCAGCTGGGCGACACCATGAGCAAGGTGAGGGCAGCTGGGCGACACCATGAGCAAGGTGAGGGCAGCTGGGCGACACCATGAGCAAGGTGAGGGCAGCTGGGCGACACCATGAGCAAGGTGAGGGCAGCTGGGCGACACCATGAGCAAGGTGAGGGCAGCTGGGCGACACCATGAGCAAGGTGAGGGCAGCTGGGCGACACCATGAGCAAGGTGAGGGCAGCTGGGCGACACCATGAGCAAGGTGAGGGCAGCTGGGCGACACCATGAGCAAGGTGAGGGCAGCTGGGCGACACCATGAGCAAGGTGAGGGCAGCTGGGCGACACCATGAGCAAGGTGAGGGCAGCTGGGCGACACCATGAGCAAGGTGAGGGCAGCTGGGCGACACCATGAGCAAGGTGAGGGCAGCTGGGCGACACCATGAGCAAGGTGAGGGCAGCTGGGCGACACCATGAGCAAGTTGAGGGCAGCTGGGCGACACCATGAGCAAGGTGAGGGCAGCTGGGAGACACCATGAGCAAGGTGAGGGCAGCTGGGCGACACCATGAGCAAGGTGAGGGCAGCTGGGCGACACCATGAGCAAGGTGAGGGCAGCTGGGCGACACCATGAGCAAGGTGAGGGCAGCTGGGCGACACCATGAGCAAGGTGAGGGCAGCTGGGCGACACCATGAGCAAGGTGAGGGCAGCTGGGCGACACCATGAGCAAGGTGAGGGCAGCTGGGCGACACCATGAGCAAGGTGAGGGCAGCTGGGCGACACCATGAGCAAGGTGAGGGCAGCTGGGCGACACCATGAGCAAGGTGAGGGCAGCTGGGCGACACCATGAGCAAGGTGAGGGCAGCTGGGCGACACCATGAGCAAGGTGAGGGCAGCTGGGCGACACCATGAGCAAGGTGAGGGCAGCTGGGCGACACCATGAGCAAGGTGAGGGCAGCTGGGCGACACCATGAGCAAGGTGAGGGCAGCTGGGCGACACCATGAGCAAGGTGAGGGCAGCTGGGCGACACCATGAGCAAGGTGAGGGCAGCTGGGCGACACCATGAGCAAGGTGAGGGCAGCTGGGCGACACCATGAGCAAGGTGAGGGCAGCTGGGCGACACCATGAGCAAGGTGAGGGCAGCTGGGCGACACCATGAGCAAGGTGAGGGCAGCTGGGCGACACCATGAGCAAGGTGAGGGCAGCTGGGCGACACCATGAGCAAGGTGAGGGCAGCTGGGCGACACCATGAGTAAGGTGAGGGCAGCTGGGCGACACCATGAGCAAGGTGAGGGCAGCTGGGCGACACCATGAGCAAGGTGAGGGCAGCTGGGCGACACCATGAGCAAGGTGAGGGCAGCTGGGCGACACCATGAGCAAGGTGAGGGCAGCTGGGCGACACCATGAGCAAGGTGAGGGCAGCTGGGCGACACCATGAGCAAGGTGAGGGCAGCTGGGCGACACCATGAGCAAGGTGAGGGCAGCTGGGCGACACCATGAGCAAGGTGAGGGCAGCTGGGCGACACCATGAGCAAGGTGAGGGCAGCTGGGCGACACCATGAGCAAGGTGAGAGGCAAGAGCGTGTGGGAGGCAAGACCTGGTGGGAGAGCAAGCAATGCGTCCTTGTGGCATCATGCCCTGCTGCCCCTCTGCTCGCTCACCACTACTCCTCCCTTCCCCTTCTCCCCTCCCCTGCTCTCCCCCCCCCACTGCAGCTGGACGTGGCCACGAGGCTGCTCATCCGCGATGCCTTGCTGCGCCTCGCCCACAGTGCCTCCCACCGCACCGCCGCTCCCCCCTCCCCGCCCAGCCCCCCTCCACCTCCTCACTCGCCCTCCACCCACTCCGCCCTCTCCTCCCACACCCACTCCCTCTCCCTCACATCCCCCTCCCTCCGCCGCCACTTGTCCGAGCCTACACCTGTTGCCAACCGCCGAGCCTCGTGCACAGCTTCGGAGGCGTCGGTGGCACGGAACAGCAGTGGTGGGCAGCACTCCGCGGTGGACGCCCATGCCGCTCCGTGAGTTGCCCATGCCATGTCCCTCTCTCACTCTCTCATCTCACTCTCCTCTGCTCTGCTCTAGCCTCCTGTTCACTTCCCCTTGCAACTTTCTTTCCTTGCCTTATTCCGTTCCGTTTCCCTCTGTCCGTCCCCCCGCCCCTGTCCCTTGGCAGTGAGAGCAGGGGGGAGGCGGGCACGAACGCGGTGGACAGGGCCATCGCCAATCTGCTCTTCCACCGCCCCTCGCCGCCCGCTGCTGCCGCTGCCCCTGCCGCCACTGGGGTGCCCGCCATGCCCCGCGCTGCTACCGCTTCAGGGGGCGTGCAGGGAGGTGCACGAGAGGCAGTGCTGGGAGGGAGGGCGGATGGGGAAGGGCTGTGTGCAGCTCCTGCTGCCACTGCCGCCGCGCCCTGTGCTGCCATGTCCACCCCACACTCTCACAGCGCCTTCTCACCCCGCCTCTCCCCCATGCACATCTCGTCGCCTCCCTCCCCCCCCGCCCCCTCGCCTTCCCCCCAAAGACACTCTCTCTGCTCGCCCATCGCCACTACCTCCTCCTCTGCCCCCGCCCTCTCCCTCTCCCACTCCTGCGCCTCCCCCATCCCCACCACCCCTTCCACTCCCACCACCACTACCACGACCACTAGGGATACCACCACCACCCTTCGCCCCCTCCCTGCCCTCTCTTCCCAGCAGCAGCAGCACCACCACCAACAGCAGCAACAGCAACAGCAACAGCAGCAGCAGCTTGCCACGCTGATGTGGCAGCCCCGCGGTTTGCCACCTGGCACACGCTGGTTACCAAGTCTAGCCAGGGCTGCTCCGGACGTCCTTATGGAAGGCTCGGAGGCAGGTCTGGCCGAGGCTGCGGGCAAGCTGGGCATGGGTGAAGGTGGAGGCATGCCGGGTGGAGGAGCAGGGCGGCAGGTAGCAGGTGGGGAGATGGGGGAGGCAGGAGATATTCCAGGTGGTGCTTGGCGGTGTCTCTCAGGTGCCGCTTCAGGTGTGTCTGAGGCATCGCTGCCATCCAGGCTTCCAGCCCTGCCCCCCACTCTCTCAGCATCATCAGGGCGGCCAGGTGGCGTGCTGCCATTGGTGCGTGGAGCGGGGGATTGCAGCAGTGGCGGCAGTAGCAGGGAGGCGCAGCAGGCGTTCAGTGAGATGCTGTGCCGCCAGCAGCCGCAGCCGCAGCAGCCGCCCTTCCAGGGCGCGCACACGGGAGCAGGGCAGCACTCTGCCATGCACGCGGTGCTGGGAGGAGGTGCCACCATGGGCATGGGAACAGACATGGGAACGGGTATGGGCATGGATATGGGCGTGGGCATGGGTGTGAGGATGGGTGGGAGAGCAGACGGTAGCATGCAGATGGGGGTGGAGAGCAGTGTGGGCCTGATGGGGTCAGGCATGGCGGGCATGGCGGGCATGGCAGGAGAGGCATGGGGAAGAATGGGGGGGGAGGTGTGGGGGGTTAAGGGAGGGGGGGTATGGGGGGCTGCTGCGGGGGACATTCGAGACAGCGGTTTGGGGAGAGGGGCAGAGCAATGGGAGTGCTTAGGTGGAGTGGGGCAGGGGCGCGGGGTAACATGGGGGGAGGGTAGTGGGGGAGGAGGCATGGAAGCAGATGTGGGGGGGGAGTTGGGAGCGGTGGTGAGAGGTGGAGTATCTGTGCCCGTTGCATCAGCCTGGAGGGCTGCACTGCAGCAACAGCAGCAACAACCACCACCACCACAGTACAGCTTGGGATTGGTGGGGCGAGGGGAAGAGAGCACAAGTGTCCGAGGGGAATAGTGGGCGGTGAATGTGCCGTACAGTCGTGCCTGGCTGAAAGGGCCTGCTCATCCCTTACATTGGGTGCTCATCTCATGTGCTGTGATTTGTGTAAGCCCAACAGCATAGCCTAATGTGCTCAGCTGCTGCTGAGACAATACATATGGGTGCTTTGTACCCTGCTATTCTATGTGCACAATTGTGTTCGTGTGCTAGAGGCTCTAGCCCTCAGTGGGGCCCGAGTATAATGATCCTGGACGCAAACAGAGCTGCTTTTTCAGATTTGGTCTCCAAGTAAGAACCACGCCTTGTTGAACCAAAGAGTCAAGTGGTTCTTGCACGCCAGTCACCGGGTAAGTATGTACACGGCACACATCACAGCACTCCTTTTGGCACGGCATGCGCATGCGGTATGGTGAGCGAGCACGGCAGCTAGAGCAAGGTGAAGGGCAGCGAGGAAGCGTCCGGGAAGGTGTGGTCGAGGAGAGCGTAGGTGCCGGAGGCGAGCAGCAGCGCGCCACTGGCGGGGTTGATCCAGAGCGCGTGCTGCCTGAGCGCCAGCAGGCGCTTGAGCGCACCCGTGAAGGCCGCTGCCACCATGAGCGGCGACACGAAGCCCAGCGTGTACACCAGCAGCAGTGCCCCCCCCAGCACCGCGTCCTGCCATGCCATGGGGGGGGGGGGGTAGCATGGAGGGGGAGTGAAGTGTGGGGCAGGGGAGCAGGAGTGAGAGAGAGAGGTCCAGGGACAAGGAGTGATGGGGGTGGTGCTCGTCAACAAGGGTGCAGGAGGGTGGAGCTGCGCACACGCCTGCGATGCAGCAGGGAGAAAGCAGCTCTACAAGTGGTGAGAAGGACCATAAACATCCACCCACCCTTCCATCGTTGCACTCACCCCGGTGGTCGCCACGTAGGCCAGCAGTGACGCCAGCACGGGCGTGGCACAGGGCGACGCCACGAAGGCGAAGGCGGCGCCCGCCAGGAGCATCTGCACGGCACTGGGGAGGCGCGCCGCCGCCTGCTTGGCGTCGAAGGCGCCGAACGCGGAGGGCAGGCGGAGGGGCAGCAGGCCGAGCAGGTTGAGACCCATGGCCACTGCCACGCCCCCCGCCACCACCGGCAGCACCCCCGCCACCAACCCCCCTGCGCCGCCCCCCGCCGCCTGCCCGTACGCGCGCCCCGCGAGCGCCGCCGCGACGCCCATGGCGGCGCGCGTGGCGGCGAGGCCGAGCGCGAAGCAGGCGGCGTCGGCGGCAATGAGGGCGCGCGGCTTGGCGGACTGGAAGCCGGCGATGTAGGCGACGGTGAGCGGCAGCACGGACAGCGTGCACGGCGTCAGCGACGTCGCCACGCCCGCCGCGAACAGCACGGCGACGCTCGCGGGCGACAGCGACGCGAGCTCCAGCGACACGAGGCGGTCCGACAGGTGCGCCGCGGCGAAGAGCGCGTCGTCGACGGCGTCCCACGCGGCGGAGAGGTCCAGCGCCGCCAGGGGGAGCGCGGGGAGGGGCAGCGCGGGGAGGGGCAGCGCGGGGAGGGGCAGCGCGGGGAGGGGCAGCGCAGAGTGCAGGGGGAACGGGGCAGGCAAAGGGGGAAGCAGGGATGCGGCGAGGGCACGAGGCGTCAAGGCGGAGAATATGAGGGCGATGGCGGAAGGGGGGAGCGCGAGGGAGAGGAAGGCGGCGAACGATGCGGGAGGAAGGAGAGGCGCGGCCGAGGAGGGAGGCTGCGCGCCCTCGCTGCCATCATCGTCATGCGCGCCTGCCGCGCGGCCGCCTGGAGGGGCAACGGAAGCGCGCGCGCTACTTTCTGGCTCGCGCCCTTGCGCGTTCTCCCCACATAGCCGTGTGGCTCCGTCAGCCGGCGCTGCAGCGGAGATCGCGCGAGCGGCTGCGAGGCAAATGCGCGAGCGGCGCGAGATCAGCCTTCTGGAGGAGGCGCCGGCGGGGCCAGCGGAGAGCGCGACGCGCGGCACGGGTGAGGAGATGCAGCGGTAGCGGCCGACCAGCGCGGTGTCTGCAGCGAGAGGGACGCTGCGAGGCGCGGCGACTGCCATGCGCGACGTGCGGGTGGAATGCGGCGTGGTGTGGGGCTGGACGCGTGGCAGAGCAGAGTGGCGGAGTCCTGTGGTGTAAAACTGCCCACGCAATGACGCTGAGAAGCCTGACGACATCCTGCGAAACTCGGGTGGAGTTACCCTGAGATGTGTACATCTGAAAAAGAGTTAGCGTGTATACGACGCTGGATAACTTACACAAGAGGATGACTGCTTATGGGGTACAAGCGCTGCTGTTTTCCGCTTCAACACACTCTGAGCCGAGCAGAGAATTGAGAATCCCAACCTGCGGTGTCGCTCTGCATCAGATCCGTGCCTCTCGATCACTGCCAAGTGATTTATCGCAATCTAGATTCTTCCGATCTAACGCGCTTTCACCGAGACCTTTGCGCTCTTTCAGTGCGGCGCACACGCGGGGAAGCATGGCGCGCGAGGTGCAGATGGCGGACGGCGGCGACGACCCCAAGGCGACGCCCGAGGGGGGGGCGGGCGACGGGCGCGAGGCGAAAGGCGAAGGGCAGACCAGCGCGCCGCAGACGCCGCAGCAAGTTCTGGCAGGTGGGCGGCGCGCAGGGTGCAGCTGGACGGGTGGGATTCGCGGAGAGAGGGCGTGCGCGGCTTGCGTTGAGAATGGATGATTGACCTCGTTCGTCCGCCAGTTGTGCGTGTGGCTGCTGCACGCCGCGGCCAGCATCCGTCCATCTCGGATCGCACTCGCCCGTTGTAAATTTCACCCATCCGCGTCAAATCTGGCCCGTACATCTCCTGCTTGCCTCGCTGCTTATTCTCACCTGATCTTCTCGAATGCTTCCGCCGCTCCCCTCCCCTCTCCCGCGCCTTTCCGCGGTCATGGTGAGCGCAGAGCTGCAGGCGCAGAGGCCGCTGGTGGAGCGCGCAGTGGTCACGCGCGAGGTGCGCGTGATGGCGCGCGCCGTGCGCGCCATGCTGGCACTGCGCAGGCGGCTGACGGGCGGCGTCGTGCGCGCGTTCGTGCGCGCCAACGTGCACAGCGAGGCGGACGCGCACTCCACGCTGCTGGCGCTGCTGGCGCAGGTGAGGGCGGCGCGAGGAGTGTTGCGGGGACTGGGGTGAGGCGCCCAGGGGTGAGGGGACAGGGGAGGCGAGGAGATGGGGAGAGGTGAGTGGGAGACTGCTTCGTGTGAGTTATTATAGCATGTCCTTAGGTGGTGGTTGCAGCGAAACGAATGATTTGCGCTTCTCCTCCCTGCGTGTTTGCATGAGGCATGGGGCATGGCATGCGGGGCATGGGGCATGGCATGCGGGGCATGGGGCATGGCATGCGGGGCATGGGGCGTGGGGCATGGGGCGTGGGGCATGGGGCGTGGCGCATGCGGGGCGTGGCAGGTGGACACGGACGAGGACATGGAAGGCGGGGCGGACGCCCCCTCGCCCGCACCACCTGCATCCGCGGAAGGCGCGTCCACGTCGGGGGCGGGGGCGGGGGCGGGGGCGGGGGTGGTGCGGGCGACGTGGCTGGCGGAGGTGGAGATGTTCTCCTTCCTCACGGCGCTCGTGCTGCTCATCGACCGCAAGGCCTTCCCCTCGTGCGCCCCGCGCCCCGCCCGTGCTGCCCTCTTGCTGCCCGCTTGCTGCCTGCCGTCTCTCTTGACGCCTCCATGTCACTCTCATGCTGCTCTCATGCTGCTCTCATGCTGCTCTCATGCTGCTCTCATGCTGCTCTCATGCTGCTCTCATGCTGCTCTCATGCTGCTCTCATGCTGCTCTCATGCTGCTCTCATGCTGCTCCATGCTGCTCTCATGCTGCTCTCATGCTGCTCTCATGCTGCTCTCATGCTGCTCTCATGCTGCTCTCATGCTGCTCTCATGCTGCTCTCATGCTGCTCTCATGCTGCTCTCATGCTGCTCTCATGCTGCTCTCATGCTGCTCTCATGCTGCTCTCATGCTGCTCTCATGCTGCTCTCATGCTGCTCTCATGCTGCTCTCATGCTGCTCTCATGCTGCTCTCATGCTGCTCTCATGCTGCTCTCATGCTGCTCTCATGCTGCTCTCATGCTGCTCTCATGCTGCTCCCATGCTGCTCTCATGCTGCTCCCATGCTGCTCTCATGCTGCTCTCATGCTGCTCTCATGCTGCTCTCATGCTGCTCTCATGCTGCTCTCATGCTGCTCTCATGCTGCTCTCATGCTGCTCTCATGCTGCTCTCATGCTGCTCTCATGCTGCTCTCATGCTGCTCTCATGCTGCTCTCATGCTGCTCTCATGCTGCTCTCATGCTGCTCTCATGCTGCTCCCATGCTGCTCTCATGCTGCTCTCATGCTGCTCTCATGCTGCTCTCATGCTGCTCTCATGCTGCTCTCATGCTGCTCTCATGCTGCTCCCATGCTGCTCTCATGCTGCTCTCATGCTGCTCTCATGCTGCTCTCATGCTGCTCTCATGCTGCTCTCATGCTGCTCTCATGCTGCTCTCATGCTGCTCTCATGCTGCTCTCATGCTGCTCTCATGCTGCTCTCATGCTGCTCTCATGCTGCTCTCATGCTGCTCTCATGCTGCTCTCATGCTGCTCTCATGCTGCTCTGCTCTGCTCTGCTCTGCTCTGCTCTGCTCTGCTCTGCTCTGCTCTGCTCTGCTGCCTCAATCACGCCACCAGAGGTGCCCCTCACCCGTCCATGCGCCCATGAGTGCGGCGCCCTCCCCATGCTGGATGTCTGCCGCACATCGCACATGCCTGTGCTACACTCGTGCTCTTGTCCCCGCCCCATGCACCATACCACGCGCACCCGCATCTGCCTTCCCACCACCACCCCACCGCTGTGGTGCAGGCGTGTGAGTGTGCGTGGGCAGCGGTGCGGCGTCTGCAGCAGCTGAACCGGCGCACGTTGGACGTGTTGGGGGCGCGCATCTACTTCTACTTCTCCCTCGCGCACGAGCGCACCAACGCCCTCGCCTCCATCCGCAGGTAACCCGCTCCCCCCCCTTTCCTTCCTCCCCCTCCACCACACATGCTGCCCCTTCCAGTCGTTGCAGTGCAATTGTGCCGCTTCCTCCTCACCCTCCTCTCCTTTCCTCCAGCCTTCACACCTTCGCTTCCTCCCTTGCAGCCCCTGCCCTTCTGCCACCAGCTCTCTCGCATGTCTCGCTTGTCTCCCTGACAGCAACCCCTTCCTTGCCCCTCTGCCCCTCTGCCCCCCTCCCCCTTCCCCACGGCAGCACGCTGCTGGCGGCGTTTCAGACGGCCACGCTGCGCCACGACGAGATCGGCCAGGTCAGCCCGCCTGCATGCTGCATGGCCGGGGGGCATGGGGGGGGAAGGGGCGTGGGGGGGGAAGGGGCGTGGGGGGTGCAGGGTCCGTGGCACGAGTGTTTTGGGGACAGGTTGAGTCAGGGGCAGGGGGAAGTGGTGAGGTGACAGGTCGGGGTTTCGAAGGGAACAAGTGACGGTTGTTGGGGTGGTGACGGGACATGGAGAGGAGGGGTGAGGGGGCATGGACACGTAGGGTTTGAGGCTGCACGGGTCCTGAGGGCGGGCTCTTGAAGGGATTGGGCAGGTAGGGTGAATGGGCAGGTAGGGTGAATGGGCAGGTAGGGTGAATGGGCAGGTAGGGTGAATGGGCAGGTAGGGTGAATGGGTAGGTAGGGTGAATGGGCAGGTAGGGTGAATGGGTAGGTAGGGTGAATGGGTAGGTAGGGTGAATGGGCAGGTAGGGTGAATGGGTAGGTAGGGTGAATGGGCAGGTAGGGTGAATGGGCAGGTAGGGTGAATGGGCAGGTAGGGTGAATGGGCAGGTAGGGTGAATGGGCAGGTAGGGTGAATGGGCAGGTAGGGTGAATGGGCAGGTAGGGTGAATGGGCAGGTAGGGTGAATGGGCAGGTAGGGTGAATGGGCAGGTAGGGTGAATGGGCAGGTAGGGTGAATGGGCAGTCAAGGAAGTGAGGGGTGAGAAGCAGGTGGGCAGGCAGTTAGTTGCTGAGATGGTTTTTTCAATCTAAAGCGTTGCGTGGTGGCTGGGCATGTGTTTGTGGTGCATGGCATGGCATGGTATGGCATGGCATGGCATGGCATGGCATGGCATGGCATGGCATGGCAGGAGATGCTGTTGAACCTGCTGCTGCGCAACTACCTGGCGTACAACCTGTACGACCAGGCTGACAAGCTGCGCTCCAAGGCCCTCCGCCCCGACTCCCACTCCAACCAGCAGGTGCCACTCCCACTCCAACCAGCAGGTGCCACTCCCACTCCAACCAGCAGATGTCACTTCCGCTGTCTCTTCCGCTGTCTCTTTTGCTGTGAACTCGCTCGTTGCTGCTCTCCACTGCCTCACCTCTTCTCCCTGCTCCCCCTCTTGCTCTCCCCCATGCTCACTTCCCTGCTCTCCTCCCTGCTCCTCGCCATACTCGTCTCTACACGCCATCCTCCCTCACCCCCCCCCCCCCACGAGCGGGGCACAGCTGTGCCGGCAGCTGTACTACGCGGGGCGCATAGCAGCCGTGCAGCTGGAGTACAGCGCCGCCAAGGACTGCCTGCAGCAGGCCACGCGCAAGGCACCGGCGGCGGCACTGGGGTTCCGCGTGGAGTGCACGCGGTGGCACGTGGTGGTGCGGCTGCTGCTGGGGGAGATCCCCGAGCGCCACCTCTTTGTGGTGCCGCGCATGCGCTCCGCACTGCTGCCCTTCTTCCAACTCACCAATGTGAGGCCCTTCTTCCAACTCACCAATGTGAGGCGCCGCACCCATCTTGCACAGTTGGTTCTGTTGCTGGTTCAGCCATTTCCGTTGCATGTTTGAACAAGGCCGTGCATGTTGAGTATCCAGCTCATGTCCGGACACCCCCCTCAGCAACCCCATCATCAGTCATCGTCCTCCTCCACCTGCCATCCGTCCCCCCCTGGCCCCCTGTGTGCGCGTGCCCCCCGGTGGGGCAGGCGGTGCGGGTGGGCGACCTGCAGCTGTTCCACGCGGCGGCCACGCAGCACGCGGCGGTGTTTGCAGCGGGGCACATGCAGAAGCTCATCGTGCGCCTGCGCCACAACGTCATCCGCACCGCGCTGCGCCGCATCTCCCTCGCCTACTCGCGCATCTCCCTCGCTGACATCGCCCTCAAGCTCCACCTCCCCCCGCCCACCGCCGTTGCTGACGCCGAGTGCATCGTGGCCAAGGTAGGCGGGGCGTGCTGCAGTGGCTTGGTGGGACCGTCACAACCTGGTGTGATGAGGTTTGCAGTTGAAATCAGTGAAGCATGTTGATGCAATGTTCAGTCAGTGAAGCATGTTGATGCAATGTTCAATCAGTGAAGCATGTTGATGCAATGTTCAATCAGTGAAGCATGTTGATGCAATGTTCAATCAGTGAATCATGTTGATGCAATGTTCAATCAGTGAAGCATGTTGATGCAATGTTCAATCAGTGAAGCATGTTGATGCAATGTTCAATCAGTGAAGCATGTTGATGTTATGTGTCATCAGTGAGGCATGGGATTTGGAAATTATGCTGTGGCTCGCTATTTGTGTCCCTCGTGATTCATTCACACCCCTGTTTCATTTCACGTGTGGGGCGGGGTGGCATGTTGGTGGTGGGTGAGTGGTTGGAGTGAGTGGCAGGCGATTCGGGACGGGGGCATAGAGGCGGTGATAGAGCGGCGGCAGGGGTGCATGGTGAGCAAGGAGGGCGGCGACGTGTACACCACGCTCGACCCGCAGGCCGCCTTCCACACACGCATCGCCTACTGCCTCAACCTGCATAACGAGGCAGTCAAGGTCAGTCAACCGCAGTCAAGGTCAGTCATTTGTCAATGACAGTCCATGTCAGTGAATTGCTGTCAAATCTCAGTTAGCAGAAGCAGTCAGATTGATTAACAGAAGCCAGAGTCAAGTTCGGTTTAGTGAACAACCGCCAGAATAAGTCAACAGCCAGAGTCGCACAACAGAAATGGAGGTCAGTGAGGAGCAGTGAAGACAGAGATGACGTAGCAGTGAAGGCAGAGATGAGGTAGCAGTGAAGGCAGAGATGAGGTAGCCGTGAATGAGCAATACACGTGCAGGTGCATGATATGACTTGTGACTGCCCATGATGCCAATCACACTCCCCTTGGCCGTCCTCCAGGCCATGCAATTTCCTCCCAGCACTCGTAAGGGCGAGGCGGATGCAGAGGAGAAGAGGAGAGAGAGGCAACTGGCGGAGCAAGAGTTGGCGCAGCACATTGCCGAGGAGGGAGACGACGACTTCTGACACCACACATGCTGCATTTACATTCTCAACACCTTTCTCAGTAGAACGCCGTTCAGTGTCAATTAGCTGTACCTTGTGGAGTTAATGCACACTTGCAAGTTTTTTTCAACCACCAGTCTCGAATCGTCTCTCTAGTGTTGGTCAGCATTCGTCAATCACGTGTGAATTCTCGTGGCCCAAATTGCAGACCGCGCGGGGCATCATTACAGTTCTATTCTTGCAAACTTGGGCGTATTTTTGTGTTGTATTGTAGCGAAGTTCACGTTACGGTAGGTGCGCTCTGATTAGTGGAGGCATTCCTGGATTCCTACAGGCGTATCTTTCGGAAGAGAAAGAGAACCCATCATACCCTACAATTCCTTGTTCGCGTTATTGTAAATTGGTGGGAGGAACAGTACTCCGCTACTACTTCCAGCCTAGTTTCCCTCCTTTCCGCCTCATCAGGGGTGCGCGCTTTGCGTCTTCCCAAACGCTGCCTCCCTCCCCCTTTCTCATTCCAGTATTCCGCCGCTTTCCCAAACACCTCTCCGCGTCATTCCCTCTAGACCGGTGTGGGTTACCTTAGCAAGCTCCGAACCATATAATCTCTTCCCTCGGAGTCCTCGCGTCCTCTGATCGTCTCCTCTACGTCGTAGCTTCTGTGCCGTTTCCGCGTGCAGCGAGTCGCGATGAAGGTCATGATCGTGCCAGTCCTGCAGGACAAGTACGCGTATCTGTAAGCCGCCCATCCACTCGAATGCCTCCACACACTGTGCGCGTCCGATCCGACAGGGTAGAGGTTCCCACACACTATGCGCAGAGACATTGCAAATGCGTGATACACGACTCACGCTATGCTTCCGGACAGCACAAATGGCTGTTCTCTGTCCTGCTCGTCTGACGCAATGGCCTGAGCTGTGTCAGCTGTTACACGGTGTTTCGCGGGTGGTACCAGACAAATTTGCGCAGCAGAGGAGAGGTATCGACGGAATGGCATACGAGTGAATAGAGGCACAGGAATCTTTGGCATGCCCGTGATGTTGGACCCCGAGAATACCACCAATCACAGAAAAGTAACCATCCACCTCATTCCGTGCACTCTCATTTTCAGGCTCCTGTCTTCCTCCCTTCGTATCATCATCGCATTGCATCCGCCATGGCCGCCACGATAATGATTGCTTCCGTTTCGGAGCGCGCTGTCGCCTCGCAGGGAGTCGCCGGTCCTTCGCTGCGGCAATCTTCGCACCGCGCATCCGTGGCTGGCGCTCGCAGCGTTCCCGTCTCCCGCTCGTGCGAGCTCACTCAGAGCTCCCGCGTGAGTCGCCGTTTCTCTCTTCCATTGCGGTTAATTGTTCCAGGTGAATCACCTTCGCATTCTTTCCCCGAATACCCACGTCTTCCAATACAATCGCCCCCCGTTCATCCCATCCTTTCCGCCCGTCCCTGCCCTGCCCCCCACCGCAGGCTCTCTTCCCCGCGGAGCGCAAGGCGGGGCAACGGCGGTCGGCGCGGGGAGCGGTGCGCGTGGTGGCGCAGGAGCTGCGCACGGAGCAGAAGGTGAAGGTCTCGCTGGGCCCGTACACCAACAAGGCCATCAAGGCGTCTGCGCCCCGCCCCAAGGTACCGCCCCTCGCTCCGCTCCCGCTCCCTTGCTTTGCTCCCGGTCCCTCGCTCCCTGTATCTGCCAGTGCAATGGGAGGCAAGGAAGGGTTAACTGCCACCGGTTCGTCGCTTACTCCCACTCATGCCCTCCCGTATTTCGCTCCGCACCAGCGCTCTTGAACCTGTCTCCTTGTGCTAGTCGGAAGTTTCACATTAGCTCCTAGCTGCGATGATGACAACGCGAATCTAACCTTTTTTCACTTCCCTGTGCTGCTCCGATCATCCGCGTGTTTGTTCCGCTCCTCGCAGGTGGCCCAAGAGGCAGTCGACAAGGTGAGCGTCTCTCCTCTTCTGTTTCACGCCTGCGCTGCCTTTCGTTGACTGCCGTCTTCTCCCCACGTTCCGCGTTCCCTCATGTCCTCGTTAATGCTTCATCATTAACTGCTCATGGTATCAAGCATAATAGCAGCACGTTTTTGCGCCCCTTTTTACCGCATGCGCCGCTCTTGATCCATATAGCTTCCTCTCCCTGCTCCGTCCCGCTTCCTCCCCCTCCCTCCCGCTTTCGTCACCCTCTTCCCCACTTTCCCCTCCCCACCAACCCCACCCCTCTGGTTCCGCAGTCGCTGATGGCCAAGTTGGAGAAGACGCACGATTTTGAGCGCATGCAATTCAACTGCTAATGGCATCAAGCACAATAGCAGCACTCTTTTGCGCATGCACCGCTCTTGATCCATACCTTCCCCTCCCCTCTCCCTCCCGCTTTCCTCCCCTCTCCCTTGCGTTCCCCACCCTCCAACCCCACCCCTGTGGATCCGCGTGCGCGCGCAGGCGCTGAAGGCCAAGTTGGAGAAGACGCACGAGTTCGAGCGCACCAACTTCACCGGCACGGGCGCCAAGCTCAGCCACACGGTGCGTGCTGCGTGCTGCAGCCGGCCGGATCTTGGCCTACGCTGTCCTCTTCTTCTGTACAAACTTGGATTGTTTGCGTCTTTCGTCTCCCCCTTCCCCGTTCTACAAGCCCCGACACCTGATGACAACGCTGAGAGCCCGCATTTTCCCCGCTGTCATAAGCACCATGCACGAGCATGTCCTCTGCCTAGGATCACGGTCCACCTAATTGCCCACGTCCGTTGATCGTCCACCTGAATGCGCACGTGATCGGCCACAGGGGTGCGCGCAGGTGAAGATCAACTTTGAGGGCAAGTACGCGGAGGGGCCGCAGGCGGGGCAGGTGTTGAAGGGCACCAAGGCGACGGGGTACGAGCTGCACCTGGCGGCGCGCGACAACGAGCCGTGGAAGACGTTCGTCGAGCAGATCGTCAAGCAGGGCATGGGGCAGGTGCGCCGAGGGGTGTGCGCATGGGGCAGGTGCGCCGAGGGGTGTGCGCATGGGGCAGGTGCGCCGAGGCGTGTGCGCAAGTGGGGGGCGTGGGGCGGGCGCGCATGGGGTGCGCTGGGGGGCGCGGGAAGGGTGCGCGAAGGGTACGCATGCATGGGGCAGGTGCCCACGGGGTGGGCATGGGGGAGGGGCCCGGAGGGTGCGCATGGGGCAGGAGTGCGCGGGATGGGCATGGGGGGAGAGGCGCAAGGGATGGGCATGGGGGGAGAGGCGCAAGGGATGGGCATGGGGGGAGAGGCGCAAGGGATGGGCATGGGGGACGTGCGTGGGTAGGGTGGGAACGGGAAGGGCCAGTGTGTGGAGTTGCTGGTTGGTTTGGGGATGGGTCAAGGCGGGTGGGATGTGGTGGGACAGGAGAGGGATCAGATGCTGCCTCCTCAATGACTCGCCTCTCCTTCTCTCATCCACCCGTCCCGCTTGAATCCCTCGCTCTACCCTTTTGCCGCCATCCCCTTCACCTACATCACCCTTCATGTGTTACCCTTCATCGTTCTCCCCGTGTCTCTATCTTGTCACCCGTGTGGGTGCATGGCCACGTTTGCGGCGCGGCATGCTGTGCCATGATGCTGGGCTGGCTGAGGTGTGGCGGGTGTGATGTGTGGTGTGGTTTGGTGTGGCAGGAGGAGAGCAAGACGTTTGTGCTGGCCTTCCCAGCAGACTACAAGGCCAAGGCCCTGGCAGGCATCAAGTGCGTGCCCCTCCCACCGCTCCCCTTCTTGGATTCCGCTCCTAAATTCTACCCTGCGCTTTACCCTACCCTTTACCCTGCATGTTACCCCACGCCCTGTCCACTTCTGACAATATTCTTTTCATCAGCAGCATGCTCGTCAGCATGCTTCCTTGCCCTGCGTGCCCTCATCCTCCCACAGCCGCTTCTTATCATCACCTGTCTCCCACCCTCTCCTCTCCTCTGCTCTCGTCTCCTCTTTCCGCCTGCATCTTCCCGTTGTCTGTGTGCATGGGCAGGGCGCAGTTCACAGTGACAGTGAAGGAGATTGGCATCAAGAAGGCGATCGAGAAGGATCCGCGCCCGATTGACGTGCAAAAGTCAGTGCTCTCTCTGCCCCACACTCTCTGCTCCACTCTCTCTGCTCCACGAAGTCTTTGCTGCTATACTTCTGTACATGCATGCTTTTGAGTCGACTCAAATGCCCATCCTTGTGCTGCTGTGCGCCCCTACACCCCTGCGTGTGTGCGCGTGTGCATGTGCGTGTGCATGGAGCAGGGCGGAGGTAGAGCAGCAGCTGCTGGCAGTGGAGGAGCGCAAGAGCAACGACGTGCTGGATGCACAGATCAAAGCCGCTCTGCTGGACTCCTCTGCGGCAGACGTTGACAAGGTCCGTCAGCCCGCCCTCTCCTCACCCCATGCTTCACCCACCCTCTCATCGTGACACACAGGGAAATGCGCGGGAAGCTACATCGAGACCATTCAGGATACCTTCTCTGCACTCCCCTCCGCTGTGCTACAGTCCCTTCTTGTATAATTGTACACTTCTGTTCCCACTTACAGTCCCTGTAACTTACCCACTCCCACCCCGCACCCCCCCAACCCCCCACGTTCCGCCCTTGTGCATCACTCACGTGTAGGTGGCAGCGAGGTGTGCTCATGGTGAAGATGACTGCGGAGGCGTACTGTCATCCTCAGATGCTGTTCTTGTGTTTTGGTATTGGGGCCCGTCCGTCCTTGCACCTTTTGTGAATGTATGCGTGCGTCATCTACCTCCTATGAAAAAGCTCCTCAATTCTTTGATCGGTTCTTACACCGGGATGCTCCAGCTACCGTAGGAAAACAGCTTGAAAATGAATTCCACTAGCTCAAGAAAGAAACAAACAAGCAAAGAGATAGGCTACTGGTATTGACAAGGAGTGAATTTCCACCATTCATACTCTGACTCGATCGCTCACACATTCAGCTGGCCCCTTCATATGTACAGTAAACGAGAGCAACCATTATTTACAAGAATGTACATTACGCCATTTCTTCTCATTCAACCCCCTGGCCCCTTGCCGGTCTGTGCCCCCTTCCCTTTCCATCCATGCCCCCTTCCCCTTCCAGCAGCAGCAATAGTAGCAGCAGCAGCAGAGGACGCGGACCAACTGACGGAGCATTGGCGCCAGTAGCGGGCCGGCCGAGCAAGGGGCCTAGTAGCGGGCCGAGCAAGGGGCCCAGTAGCGGCCGGAGCAAGGGGCCCAGTAGCGGCCGGAGCAAGGGGCCCAGTAGCGGCCGGAGCAAGGGGCCCAGTAGCGGCCGGAGCAAGGGGCCCAGTAGCGGCCGGAGCAAGGGGCCCAGTAGCGGCCGGAGCAAGGGGCCCAGTAGCGGCCGGAGCAAGGGGCCCAGTAGCGGCCGGAGCAAGGGGCCCAGTAGCGGCCGGAGCAAGGGGCCCAGTAGCGGCCGGAGCAAGGGGCCCAGTAGCGGCCGGAGCAAGGGGCCCAGTAGCGGCCGGAGCAAGGGGCCCAGTAGCGGCCGGAGCAAGGGGCCCAGTAGCGGGCGGCGCAGTGGGCGGCGCAGCGGATGGCCCAGCGGGCGGCGCAGCGGGTGGCACAGCGGACGGCGGCGCAGCGGGTGGCACAGCGGACGGCGGCGCAACGGGTGGCACAGCGGACGGCGGCGCAGCCGACGGCGCAGCGGACGGTGCAAGGGACTGCGCAGCGGACAGCGGTGCAGTGGCACCGACTGTAATGTGGGAAGAAAAGAGAAGAAAGATAAAGGGGGGGATGGTTTTAGAAGATAAAATAGTACTATAAGAATGCGTAAGGAAATGCCATTAGGTAGCAGGAAAAGAACAAAAAGAAAGCGGTGAAAATTGCAGCATATGAAGAGAATGGCTGCGCAAACTCACAAAAAAGTGGCAGCAAGAGGGAAAAGATAAATGCATGGAGTTGCAGTAGTAGCAGAGCGGAAAAAAATCGTACCAGACATGTGAAAAGTAGAGCCTTCACCAATGCGAGGGAGTGTGCGAGGCGTGAAAGAGATGCTACGACAGTGCCGAGCGCTGGATTCCAAGGCGATGCAGTACTTCCCCTCTGTTCCCTTCCCCCCCCACCTCCAGAAGCTACAGAACCAAAAATCTTCATAGATGGACAAGGGATATCTGGAGAACTGTCAGCGCCAAAATAATCACTGTTTACTATTGAATCCCAAACCTTCCCTACCCCAACCTCCCTTCCCTCCTCGTCCCCATCGCTCCCCTCCTCCTCCCCCACCCTCTTCTCCTCCTCCCCCACCCTCCTTTCCTCCTCCCTCCTGCGCTTTTCCATCTTTTCCAAAAGCTGAGAGAGTGATGGACATGTAAAACGATAGGTAGTAATGAGCATGTACATCCTGAAAGAATGATGGATGGTTAAGATAAGATGTTTGCTTAATATGAAAGTGTGAAATCTGAAGAGTTGTGAACGTGAAATTTGAAGTAGTTATGAGAGTGAAAAACTAAGAAGTGGATCAAAAGGTTTGGAGAATTGGAGGGTGTAATGGTAGTAAAAATCTTGAGGGACAGATGAAAGTATACCTGCTGGTAGTCCTTGTGAAACATCTCCCTCACTTCGTGTAGTTCCTGAAGCACATGTTGGAAACATGAAAGTGAGAGGGAAAAGACTAATGTTACACGAATGGTTTGGTGGTTGGACTGAGCTGAGCCATTATCACACAAACGGATAGACCGGGGTCTCAACAACCCCACAGCCCTCTCATCTTGCTCTCCACTCTCACCTGACTCAGCACAAGTGAAGCCAGCATTCTTGCGAGTGGCTTGGTGGCCAACCTGAGCTGAGTCATTAGCACACAAACAGATTGTCCAGCATCCACATTCCCACACAGCCATATCCCGCACCTGCTCGTCGGGCACGAAGGAGGGTGCCTCGTCTGTCTTCTGCTCCATTATTGCCTTGCCTGTTTGGGAAAGGGTGCAGAGGAGAGACAAATAAGAAAGAGGAGGAGTCTATGTGTTCTTGGCGCAGGATGCTTGGCGTTCTTTTTTTTTGGGCTGACCGGGATTTTTTTTTTTTGCCACATCGCGAAATTGACATTCGCGATTTCGACGCAAATGTCAAACCGCCCCCACCCATTTCGACCTTGAAAAACCGCCCCCCAACCAAGTTTGAAACCCCTCCCAACCATTGTGGCCCACCACCAAGTACTTGTAGGAGCATAAACTCTTCATTTGCCTCCAAATCAATAGCTCACTTCGATTCTCCTTCAAAACCCTAGTGGGTTTAGCTCCTTCATTTCTCCTTCAATTCCCCTTCAGGGTTCAATGAAGGGGTCGGTTGGAAGGGTTCAGCCCGGTCCAGCTGTAGAGCCTCCTTGTGACCTTCTCAAAGAGAATCTTCGCATTGCGCCAGGTAAGTTCCTAGTGCTGTCAGAATGGTGCCTTCATATTGGCAACCATGGATGCTAGGGGTCCTTTGGCCTGTGCCTAAAGGGAAGCGACCAGCCTATGTGCTTGGGGCCACTCTTCCACTGACAACAGCTCCAAGGGCGTTGTTCGCATCTGGTGAGATATCCAGCGAGCAGTAGTTGAGCAGCAGGGACACAACTTGATTGTCCACGGTTGCGAATGGCTGCAGCGGAAAAAAACAATGGCTGCGCTTGGATGAGAGCAGCTTAAAACGATGCCCCACCAACGATAGCCGCCTATGTGGCTGCCGAGAACTGTCAATCCGTCGGGGCGGAAGGGTGCTTTATTGAATAAGGAGTGGGGCGATGGAAAGATGCACACCAGGTCGGCGCATTTGCCCGCTGGTCGCCCTCAGCCAGGAAACAAAATGCTGAAAATCTTGCATGAATTCCCCCGTTTCTCCCTGGAAAGACAAGTCGACGGCGCAGGCCAAGTGGAGCACCAAACCGACGGGGAGCAGTCCAGCAGCGAAGAGCAGGGGGCCCAAAGGGGTCTCCTTGCTAGACTCCCTTGTGGCTTAACAATAGGGCACTGTAAAATGTCGTGTGCAGGATGAGGTTACGCGGGCGGACATAAAACAGTCATACCAGGGGCACAAGACGTCAGAGGCTTGAGTCACCAGTGCTGCCATGATAGCCCTGCACTGGATGCTGTTGAAGGCCTTTGCAAGGTCCGCCTGCAGAATGAGCGCCTCTAAGTGCATGACCATGTGGGTATGTGCTTTGTGGATGACGGCCTCTGCTGTAGCTCCCATCACACCTACTCCGCACTGCAGCGGTAAAAGGTACTCCCTTGCTGACTCCGATAACGTGGCCACTGCCGCCCTGGCTAGCAGGCAGGGCACCCGATTACAGGGCGAGGTAAGGGCTGCGAAGAAGCGCTTTTGGCCAAAACAACACTTGGGGCCCCAACCTTCTACGCGACTACCGTCAGCCCCTCTCGCCCGCCATACCGCGCCATCCTCGGGTTCAGGGCGCTTTCACCACATGCAGTCTGACCCCATTCCTGCGACTAGCACGCCAACCTGACAATCTGACAGGGTGGCGCCTGCTGCTTTTCCTCCCACGCCTGACACTGCGTGCCAAGGCAACACAGAAACCAGATTGGGGAGCAATGGCGGCCAGACTCAGGAGGATTGGCAGGGGCTCTACCAAGAAGAGTGTGAGGCGATCCACATGCCTGCCCCTCCACGCCATGTGCCGAACACCACGGGCACCCTTGCCAGAGCCACCACTCTGGTGAAACGAGGCCCAACCAGCGATGCCACTCTCAAGGCCCAAAGTACGCGATACCCAAGTGCTAAACCCAACTCCCTTGTTGGCTTGACACTTTCCGCATCAACACGTCGCCAGCCATTTCGACGCAGGATTTCTGTCGCGTCCTTCCTTACTAGCTGCAAGAATGGTGTGGGAGCGAGCCCAAGTGGGATGCGCTTGGAGCACATCCCATGACCCTGCGCTTCACCACCCCGACATAGGCGAGCACCTACTCGCGCTCGTAAACACTGCCCTCGCGGGAAACGTCCCGACAGACGCCGCTGCTCTGCTTACCGCCTCGCGACTGCTCGCCTTCACCAAACGGGTGGGAGGGACGCCGCCAATTTGAATCTCCAATTCACCGGCCAACACAATTCGCTCCGCATGCTACACTGCAGGTGTGTAACTACAGGCGAACGCCTCAACAGGCGCGCGACCCTGCAGGTGCGCGACACTGCAGGTGCACGCCTCCGCAGGTGCGCGCCTCTGCAGGTGAGGTGCGCACTCTGAAGTGCGTGCCTCCGCAGGTGCGCGCCTCTGCAACGGCGCGCCTCTGGCTATGCTCGTCTCTACAGGTGCGCAAATCACTAACGAATCGATTATTTACTTTCGTCTCTTCTGCTGTTATGTTCAGGTAGGCAGAAAGTTATTCATGAAATATACTGCTTCCACGACTATTGAAGTTCATTTCCTTCTGAACCTAATAACAGGCGGACAAGCAAGGCCTAACACAAACCCCTAATGAAATTTATCGTTATCGTTCTGTGCAGGTGATTAAATCCAGAGATATACCTCTCATCGAACCGCACCGCTCAAGATCCCGCAACCTTGTCTGATCCTAAAGTGACTGGTAGGAGCGACTGCCAGGCGTAGATTGCCAACTAAGCTCGCACCCACCTGCACGTGGGTTGTTTGCCGCGCTCCTATTCGGCGTGGCGAGTTCCGATGGCGAGTCCCGATGTGATGCAGGGCGATGCAGGTCCGTCACTTTCGCCTCCCTTTCTGCCCACCTCCGTGGCTTTCCAACTCCTGGCTATTACGTCCGCTCTCGCTTTGAATCGGCAGATCAGCAGATCTATTGCAAGAGAGCGTGAGAATTCTGAGATCTGGGTCTTGGAAGTTACGTTATGAATCTGATAAGAGAATGGTCGCGTGCAGGTGATGCGAGAAGGAACAGCGGGGGACATCGAAACTCTTGACCGAGTTGAGTTAACCTTCAGCTTGTAGAGCGGTTGAGACCGTTCCTGAGGGCGGGTCCCGAAAGTATGACCCGATTTCGAACACACCTATTCGTAGATGAGCACTTTCACAACTAAAAACATGTTCCGCATCTTGCACCATTACCAGGTCTTGTTTGCCGCAAAACCCAATTTCACGCGGAAGGATCAACACATGTGCAGGAAGTGCAGCGGGCGCTCTTCATTCGCGGGTGCCGTTGACCGATGATGCTCGCAACACTTCCACGCCCTTGCTGGCTTGGCAACAGGACCAGACAAGCGCAGCCACGTGAGCCAGCGGAAGAAAAACGCTCGAAACGAGCGCTCCCACCCCCAAAACGCGGAAGGATCCGCACATGTGCAGGAAGTGCAGCGGGCACTCTTCATTCTCAAGGGCCAATAACCAATTATGCTCGTAACCCTTCCACGCCCTTGCTGGCTTGGCAAGAGGCCTAGACAAGCGCAGCCACGTGACCTGGTAGAAGAAAATCGCTCACTGCGAGTGCTTCTAGCCTCAAAACGCGCTAGGATCCGCACATGTGGAGGATGTGCAGCGGGCGCTCTTCATTCTCAAGGGCCGATGACCAATGATGCTCGCAACCCTTCCACGCCCTTGCTGGCTTGGCAAGAGGCCTAGAAAAGCGCAGCCACGTGACCCGGTAGAAGAAAAACGCTCACTGCGAGCGCTTCTAGCCTCAAAACGCGCTAGGATCCGCACATGTGGAGGAAGTGCAGCGGGCGCTCTTCATTCTCAAGCGCCGATGACCAATGATGCTTGCAATCCTTCCACGCCCTTGCTGGCTTGGCAAGAGGCATAGACAAGCGCAGCCACGTGACCTGGTAGAAGAAAACGCTCACTGCGAGCGCTTCTAGCCTCA